TGTCTCTTGTCCCATCCAATTCCCACTCCCCTCTCCAGGGTCTGCATTGAATATCCTGCGGTTCGGGAAAGAAAATAAAGGGCATCCAGATTGGAAAAGAGGAAATCAAATTGTCCCTGTTTGCAGATGACATGACCCTATATATCGAACAGCCTAAAGTCTCTACAAAAAAACTCTTGGAGTTGGTAAATGATTTCAGCATAGTAGCAGGATACAAAATCAACACACAAAAATCAGTAGCATTTCCATTCTCCAATAGTGAACATGAAGAAAGAAAAATCAAGAAAGCTTGCCCATTTACAATAGCCAAAAAAAAATAAAATATTTAGGAATTGAGTTATCTAAGGATGTGAAAAATCTCTATAATGAGAATTACAAACCACTGCTGAGAGAAATTAAAGGGGACACAAGAAGATGGAAAGATATCCCATGTTCTTTGATTGGAAGAATCAACAATGTGAAAATGTCCATACTACCCAAAGTGATATAAAAATTCAATGCAAACCCCATCAAAATTCCAATGACATTTTTCGATGAAATGGAAAAACTATCCAGACATTTATGTGGAATAACTAAAGACCATGCATAGGCAAAGCAATTCTGAGAAAAAAAAATAAAGGGGGAGGCATAACACTACCTGACTTTAAACTATACTACAAAGCTATAATAACCAAAACAGCATGGTACTGGCATAAAAACAGACACACTGATCAATGGAATGAAATAGAGAATCCAGAAATCAACCCATACATCTACAGCCAGCTGATGGTGCTGGGATAACTGGATATCCATATATAGAAGAATGAAACTAGACATATACCTCTCACCACATACCAAAATCAACTCAAAATGGATTGACGAATTAAATATAAATCTTCAAACAATAAAACTTCTCAAAGAAAACATAGGAAAAACACTTCAGGAAGTAGGACTGGGCACAGACTTCATGAATATGACCCCAAAAGCATAGGCTACCAAAGGTAAAATAAACAAATGGGATTATATCAAACTAAAAAGCTTCTGCACAGCAAAAGAAACAATTAACAGAGTTAAAAGACAACCAACAGTGTGGAAGAAAATATTTGCAAAATATATAGCTGATAAAGGACTAATATCCAGGATATACAAGGAACTCAAACAACTTTATAAAAAAAAAAACAAGTAACTCAATTAAAAAATGTTCAAAATAACTAAATAGGCATTTTTCAAAGGAAGATATATGAATGGCCAACAGACACATGAAAAATTGCTCAACATCACTCAGCATTCGGAAAATGCAAATCAAAACCACACTGAGATACCATCTCACCCCAATTAGGAGAAGAGGAATGGAAATCATCAAGTTGAAGGTATACCTGTTCTCCAATGTTCACTGCAGCACTCTTTATAATAGCTAAGAGTTGGAACCAGCCCAAATGTCCATCATCAGATAAGTGGATATGGAAAAAGGTGGTATATCTACAGAATGGAATACTACTCTAGTATAAAAAAAAAAAATGAAATACTGCCATTTGCAATAACATGGATGGACCTAGAGAGCATTATATTAATTGAAACTAGTCAGGCACAGAAAGCGAAATATCACATGTTCTCATTTATTTGTGGGAGCTAAAAAATAAATGAATAAACAAAGAAGCAACCTGCGGGGGGGGCGGGAAGAAAACACAACAATTATAATTCCTTGAAGTTCACATGACAGGCAGACAGAAAGGAGATTGTTGGGAAAGAGGGGGGAGAAGGAGGAGGGAGGGAGGTTTTGGTAATGGGCTACAATAATCAACCACATTGTATATTGACAAAATAAAATAAAATATAATGTAATAAATAAAATAAAATGAATCAATTGGAAAACAATTCCTTCTCATTGTACCCCCAAAGCCCCTCTGAACTCTGAATGTTTTATATAGACAAAATAACCAAAATGTCTAATAATGAGCTATGGGTACCTGTTGGGATATGAACCAGTTATGGTAGTAAATTTATTGTCTTCATCTTCCATACAAACAACAGTTACTAAAAAATAAATAAATAAATAAACATTTCATACAATTACTTTTACCCTCTTTTCTCACCTCATCATTTCCATTGCCACTTGAACTCTTCCTCGTTGATTTATACTGAAAAATATTTAAAACACATACTTTATTTTTCCTTGAAGATATGAATTGTCTACTAGTAAATTATGTGAATTTTATTCATATTTGATACTTTTATTAAATTACTTGATATTAAATTTTAGTGTATAACCAGTTTAACTAGTCCCACTACTAATAACTAACATATAATACATCCTATGTGTGAAGGCATTGTTCTAAGTACTTTGCATATATCAAGTAACATTTCCTTCCTAAACCAATCCCATTTGCCATTTCATTCAGGTTTGCAATTTGAGGGTTGTTTTAGAGCCTTCCTTTTCCTTAATTCACTATATCCAATATGTCATCAAGTCAATTCTTTTTGTAATCCTCTCAGACTTACTCTTCTGAATTCTCACTACCACCCTATCCAAGGCCCTCATTATCTCACACCTCTTCTGTAATTTACCATTCTAAGATGTCAACTATTGTTAAGAAACCTACTGATTTCAGGTAAAAAAAAAAAACAAAAAACACCATACATTAAATATACATACTGACTGTACAATAATTGTAATGATGATAATAGCCCACACTTATACTAGTGCTTACTATATGCCATTCACTGATTGAAGAACCTTAAATGTATTAGCCCATTTAATCTTCATAATAACCCTATGCGGTAAGTACTATTATCCCTGTTTTACAGTGAGACACAGAGATAATATGCTCAATATCAAACGTGCTAATATGTGAAAAAACTGCTTCTTAGAATCAAGGAAATACAGTATGACAACCACTGGAGTTCTTATTTCTGATTTCTCTCAGTGCAAATAATCCTGAAAATCAGTAGCAGATAAACCTTCTGCTTGCAACTCATGACTGTCCTGCTGAGAAGCCTACTAACTTTCACATTACGTACAAACTTCTTTGTCTGACATTCAAAGTTCTATTTAAATGGTCCTCTTTACTTATGCAGCATTATCTTCCATAACCCTTGTAAAAACAGATAACCTACCTATTATCTCAACCACAAATTGGTGAGTGAGCTGTATTAGGGATTATGCATACAAGATATATATTCCTCCCCTATCTCTTCTCTGACAACTATCTTATCACTACTCTTCCAGTGTGCTCTTTCCAGCTGATCCCAGACATAGCTTTAATATACATTCAACCCAGTGCTCCAGACAGCCACTGTATAAAGTTAGCATGTGTGAAAAAAACCTATTTGCCATTCCCAGGCAAGATGCTCACTGAAGCCACTTATTTTTGGTTCTTTTCTGCTTCAATGCAACAGTGACATTTGAGTGCATATTATGCTAATATTTATTAAGTTCTTACTGTGCGGCAAGTTCTAAAGTAAAGAATGGTCATTGAAGATTTTGATAAGTCCAAACTTCATCTTATTGGTAACAGGGAGCCAATACAAAAATTTAAGTCAGGGATTTCTCCAAGGGCTGTGAAAGGGGGACCATTAAGGATTTACTACAATTGCCCAGAGAAGAATGCATGAGAGTTCCAACAAAGGCAAGGGCAGTAGATATAGGGATGACTTGGAGAACGAATGTATAATTAACAGATACAGAGCTTAGACAACTGGCCAGACACTGCTACCAAACAATATAGAGAGAGGAGGAGCAAGTTCCATGGTGGGGTGTGTAAGGAGGAAGACATATTGAATTTGAAATATAAGTAGGGCATCCAGACAATTAGAAACATAGGCTTACAGGCCAGAAAAAAAGTTACAGGATGCAAATTTAGACTCAGCAGAATGTAAGAAACATCTGAAGTCACTAACACTTTTAAAGTTCTCAGAGAGAACTTTTGAGTGTAAAAAAAGAGGATGAAACCCTGAGAGCAATCAGAATAAAGGACAGAAAAGTTAGACAAGAAGATCAAAAAGATAATAGAAGAATCAGAGAAGAAAAATGAGGAAAAAACCAAGAAAGGAGTTTCAAGAAGATTTGGTCATCATTGTCAAATGATACCCTGGATTTTGTTGTTAGTAGGTACATATTAACCTCTGAGGGACTACTTCAATGGATAAATGGAGGTGAAAATCAGGCTTCAGTGAATTAAGGAATATCAGACTAGAATACCAGAAATGACAAATTTGATCCCTAAAAGAGAGCAAAGAGATAAGGCAACAGCTGAAGGGGGAATCAGAGATAATGGTAGTGTCTGGGTTCAGAAAACACTACCCCAAAATATGACACCTTAGAGGCCACTCTGACCTTCTCCTGCCCTTCTTACTTCCTACCCTCATTCTTCCCCCAAGCAGAAACTCAACCCCTCTCCCCCAAGGTGGGCCACAGAAACTAGAATTCTCCTTCTCCCCAACAAAGCCATAAAACCTAGAAAGTTATTCTCTGACCTCTTCCCTTCTCCCATGAAGATCCTTAACATAAAGAAGTGGGGGAAGGAATGTCATACAGAGACACAGGCAAAAATCTGAACAAACGGGCTTTGCTATGTTCCCCCCAGTATATTACCATTAGACCATACCCCTTTCTATCCAATCATGTTTCTCTACAACTATTCCCTTCTTTCATAGGACAACATAAAAATACAGTTTTCCCTGGGTTTTTAGGTCTTCATTTCTGAAGGTTCCCATGTCATGTAAAACTTTGATTAAATCTGTTATGTTTTTCTCTCGTTAATCTGTCTTTTGTTATAGGGGTGTCAACCATGACCTTTGTGATAGGTGAGAAAAAGCTATTATTTTTACTCCCCTACATTATAGGTTTGAGCACATTTATAAGGTGAAAAGTAAAGAGACAGGACATGAAAGAGTCCATAGACAACTGAAATGCAAAGAAACACAGAACGATACAGTTAAGAACTCAGATAATAGAAAATGTATTATTGTTACTCCACAACTATTCTAATTAAAAATATTCATTATAAATAAAAACTTAGGAGGACGCTAAGTTTGCATTACTGCATATATTTAAAGGTCTTATAACCCAAAACCTGATATACACACAGATTTGAAAATATTCTATATGTCCAAATTTTTACTAAATCAGTCTAGCTATCCCTAATTAGTATTAATCTGAATTATTAAGGTTTTATTACTTCTGAATTCAAATACTACAATAAAAGCCTGATTTACAAACCAGAGAAACAGAAAGGTTAGTACATCTCTGGAGCTCACATTAATTTCAGAGAAGAGAGAATAACTTGTGTACAAACTCGGGCTCAGAACAAATCAGGTTATTTTACATTCCCAGTTGGTTTCCCTATTCCAGTATAAAACTAACATGATCACATAAAATAAAGAAAAATATTTTCCTGGAAGGAGTGACCTCAACAAGATGGTGGAGCAGAAGAGCCCGGAACCACTCATCCCACAAAACTATGAGTAGCAACTATTCAAAGACAATAATATCCTGAACTCACCAGAACTAAGGAGAGAAGCAGAGAAGCCCCCTGGGCCTGCAGAAGTGAGAAAAGACATGACCAATAAGACAAACAGGCCTTTTAGACTGCATCACCCCTTCCCTGAAGAATGTCCCTGGACCTACAGTTTCTGAAGTGGAAGGAGAGAACTGGAGGTGGACGTTCAATCTCCCCACCAAATCAGGGAATCTTCATGAAAAGCGTGCTCTGGTTCCATGCCATGGGTAGCACTGGGAATACCAAAAGGGCTGAACCACCTGGGATGAATCAGAGAAAAAGAGCAGAGATGCTCATCACAGTGACTAGCATACAAATTGTAGTGGCCACTCTGTGTTCCTATCAGTGGGGGCACTATGCTGAGAAGACTGTCCATAGTGCCATAGTACTGCAGGGTGCACAATCTGCAGGAAGGCCCAAATCCCTGGTTGGACTTTCCACATAGCACAGGAGCTCCTGTGGAGCCTTCTCTTGACCCAGAAGCAACTAAAAGGTTGGGGGGTTAAGTACTGTGCTTGCTTTAGTCTTCCCCAGACCCAGAAACCACTGCAGGTCTGTGTTTAAGCTTCACAATGTTTAAATTTCAGTGGTCACAATAAGTCTTCCCCAGACTCAGCAACTTCCAGTTCCAGTACAGCATTTAAGTTCTAGTGCTCACATGGAACATTCCCTAATACAGACCATATGTTAGAATGCAAAACTAGTCTCAACAAATTTTAAAAAATCAAAATCATAACAAATGCCTTGTCTGACCACAATGGAATAAAACTAGAAATCAACAACAAAAGGGACAGTAGAAACCACAAGGACACACAGAAATTAAACAATAAGCTCCTCAACAATGAATGCATCAAAGAAGAAATAAAGAAGGAAATTAAAAATTTCCTGGAGACAAATGAAAATGAAAACTCAAAATACCAGAACCTATGGGATACAGCAAAATCAGTTTAATTGGAAGTTTATAGCAATAAATGCCTACATCAAAAAAAAATAAGACTCCAAATAAACAACCTAATGTTATACCACAAGGAGCTAGAAAAACAACAACAAACCAAACCCAAAATCAGTAAAAGGAAAGAAATAGTAAAGATCACAGCAGAAATAAATGAATTAGAGATTAAAAAATAAAAAAGATTGAGTAAGAGTAGGGACAGTGGGCCTTCAAAAAAATAAACAAAATTGATAAACCTGTAGCTACTCTAAGGGAAAATAAAGAGAAGACTCAAAATCAGAGAGGAAAAAGGAGATATTACAAGTCATACCACAGAAATACAAAGGATCATAAGAGACTACACAGAACAACTATATGCAAAAAAACTGGAAAACCTAGAAGAAATGGATAAATTCCTAGATACATTTAATGTACCAAAGTTGAATAATGAAGAATTAGAAAACCTAAACTAACCAGTAATGAGTAATAACATTGAAGCAGTAATAAAAAGTCTTCCAACAAAGAAAACCCCAGGTTCAGATAGCTTCAGCTGAATTCTACTGAACATTTAAAGAAAAACTAACACCAATTCTTCTACAACTTTTCCAAAAGATTGAAGAGGAGGGAATACTTCCAAACTTATTCTACGAGACAAGCATTACCCTCATACAAAAACCAGAAAAAGACAAAACAAAAAATGAAAACTACA